AAGGGAAAAAGTCTAAGTTTTTTTTGCTTGCAGGGGAAGAATAGCATTCAATGCTGGGAAATTTTCTAGGCACATGGTTTGCTATAAATAGGCAATTTCTTTCATTGTAAATCATCCCATCAGATTTATTCATCATCCCATTGGTGATAGAGAGTTATATTTGTAATTTCTATTGTAATATCATTTTTCCAATACAGAAAATTCTTCAAATTGTCTTATTATGTGTATAATTTATTTTAAATCTTACATTAAAATTTATTCTCAATATTTTCAGTCCAAGTTACTATTGTATTTTGGTGTTGTGAACCATATCGATCCTAACACATTCCTCAACAAAAGAATAATGAATTTATAGGAGTATTTAGTTTTTTTTTTTTTTTCTGTAGTGTTCAAATTTTCTCTATCCATGAGAAAAATAAGAGCCTATGGGGATCTATGTTTAAAATTATGAGGCTGTGGCATTTTTTTTTCCCTGTAAATAAACAGGAGTATGATCGAATGAATAAATGAGGAGAGTTTTTATTTCAAAATGATGTGTGTTTATGCTTTCTAATTTATCCATACGTGTTTAGGTTAAAATGATATGTGTTTGGGGTAAAATGAGGTGTGATGAGACGGTGCATATTTATTCTAAAACAATGAATGTAATGTGAAACAATTCAAGCGTATTTAGTCTAAAGTGATGAGAATATATTTTCAGTATTTAATGATAATGTCTGAGAGTATTGGGAGCGAATGCTAGATAGAATCATAGAATCCTAGTCTAACACGAATAATATAGTCCTAGTTTAATATGGATAATAGAGTCCTAATAAAAATAATATGAGTTTTCTCTAAAATGATGCAGTTTTTAACAAAATTGATACATGACACATTTTGCACATTTACAAAAATATCACAGTATTTTTCACTTAATTAAACTTTTGCATATCTTAATAAATTTTCCCTAAAACAATGTGGTTTCCTCCAAAGTGATAGGGTTTTTATCCCAGAATGATAGATGTGGTTTTACTCTAAATATATGATATAATAAACGTTTTACATGTTTACAAAAATAGCACCAAAGTTCTATATTTTGCATACTGAAGATCTGTCTCTGTTTGGGTTTCTGTTTAATTTTTTTTGATCGAATTGCAATGTTTAAGCTATTTTGGTCGACTTTTCTAACTACATGTTGATTTTCTTCTGTAGGTCGCCGGAACATCGCACAATTTTTGAATTGAAATGCACTAAATTAATATGTTAATGTGTCTAATTGTAACTTTGAAAAATTCAAGAGTCTAATTGACTTTTTATATAAAATTTGAGGGTGTATTTGACCATTTTTTCTGACATGAGTTACTAGATGTCATGATTTATAATAATATACCCTTGGCTTCACATGCCTCATAATATTCAATTATACTGCACTTATTTATTTATTTATTCAAATATATTATATTATAGAAATATATATTATATGGAAGTCAAAGTAGTACACTAGTAAAATATGACAAGCCAGTCAAAAACTTTGTGGTCAAATGATATAATTGTGACTTTTTTAAATTGGAGATTTCAGTTTCGAATCTCAACAGGGATATTGACTTTTTGTGTTAAAATATTAAGAGTAATGAAAAGCCAGGTAACAGTGCAACTGGGCATAAGTTGAATGGTCCCGCAGAATGTGTTGTGCGAAGCTGAAGAGTTTCCATATAGAGAGTCCCACATAATTATATTGTCAGTGTTCATGTGATATGTCAACGATAACCAAAGAAATCAATCTTTCTTTGTACACAAAGTCCCACACATTTGTTTTTGTTTAAGATTCTAGCCGATTTAATTTCTAGTGCAATATAGGACAAGAAGGGGTTAATTTGAGAAAAACGTGTACATTTTTATTCAATTATTACATTTCATGACCTAGTTAGATCTTTATGAACTCACTTGTACCTAATAATAATAATATTATTATTATTATTATCATTTATCAATAATCCACGGTACATTAATCCATTACTCCCGTATTTCTCAACCATAACATATATTATCCAATCAGTAAGATTCTTAATATCATCATTTATTAATCTCTACGTACCAACCGAATTTACTATAATATTATACAACTATAATAAAATAGGATTGCTTAAGATTTCTACATGTTGGGTGTAGTGAGACACATTGTACAACAAACCATAATAACATTATATATTGGTAATCACTAATTGATGTTTCGTAGGTTTCTTCATATCTTCATGTTTAATTTTATTCTTTTCCTTTGGTTGTCGTATGATGTAATTAGTACTGAATTGTATAGTAGGTTTTGCTTGGGGAGAAATGCAAATGCATGCAATAATGATTAGATCCAAAAGCAACAAACACACATCATCCTATCTACGTTAAAAGTTGGCTTTTGAAGAGGTTTACAAGTTTGGTATCAAGTGTGCCACACACCAACTTAATTAATTAATAAAATGTTATATATAATTAAGACTTAAAATTAAACAATTAAGTCATCACATCAAAGTATATGTTTCCCAAGAGCTCAGCAAGCTAGGTATTTGGTGCACCATACACAAATTAAAGTTAAATAAAATTGTAAATTAAATTAAAAGAGCAGTTAATATTCATTTATTTAAAAATAATCATCCTCTATTTATTTAATTCATTTGTATAGACATTTTTTTTTTGACAAAAAAATGTTTATTTAAGCCAACTAATACATATCATGACTTGAACAAAACAGCCACCTCGATGCAGCGATATATATTAATATACATACATCATTTACTAACTAATTTAATAATTTATATCTATTTTAATTAAAGACCAAAAATATAATTAATCTCCTTACAATAAAAATCAACACCAAATAATATATAGTGGCTCCCCCACTAGATTGAGGTGAAGAAAGAGACAAAGCATATAGTGTTCTAAACTTCTAATGCGAAAAAGGCGCGTGAGAAGAGATTCGTGGGTGATGATTGCAAATTGCAAATTTGATGATTCTGGTAGTCAGTCACTAGTGATAGCTGGAGATAGCTATGTATGTATTATCTTTAAGAAATAAATTTTATTCATATTTTTTGTTACAAAAATTCATATATATAAAATTATTATTGTTATTGATATGACATGTTTTTTTAACTTAAGTTTTCTAGTTTATATCTTCATATACACTTCTGTCATAAGGAGCTCAACTCAAAACCCAATTTTCAATATTCGTGACAAAAATTGAATTTTCACTTTGTTGCTGGAAATAAATTTTAAGTGAGATTTCTTAAATCTTAACTACTAGACTAATGCTCGAGAGGTACAAAATGTTTTTTACCTCTATAATTATCACTTCCTATTAGCCATGAATTTAGAAAGGATAACTAATTGTTATGATTACTAGTGAATCGGTTAATTATATATTGACTTAATAAAGAATCTACATATCCAATAAAACATAGTTAAGAAAGGCAAAAACTTGTGTGAGACTATCTCACTGATCTTTGTTTGTGATGTGGGTCGGGTCAAGATCAAATGTAATACTTATACTAAAAAATGTAATATTAATAAGGAATAAAATGTTTATTACTTATATGGAAAAAAGTAATACTTTTGAAGAAAAATGTACTACGTAATGCTTTTACATTTTAATTTAAAAGTATTACATTTTTTCTCAAAAATATCATATTTTCTCTTATAAGTAACAAACACTTTCTAATAATGTAAAAGTATTACATTTGTTCTCAAAAGTATGTATTGCAATTCATAAATTCCTTTATAAATAACAAATATTTTATTTCTAATTAGTATTACATTTTTATATTGATCTCGACTCGACTCGTCTAACGAATAAAGATTTGTGAGATAGTCTCACATAAGTATAATCCGTTAAGAAATGATTAATATGGAGTGGTAATTGTAGAGGTTTTTGGTCAACAAATTATTTATATTATCATGGGAGGTAGTTAATAAGTCTTTTCCATACCCAAAAAAAAAAAAAATGAATAATATAAGAAGGTTACGTAATTACAAGTAAAATTCTTACACGTGAAATGCCATTAGCCATGCACTCACCCCACCTGATATTTGGTGAAAGAAAGTGGGCCACATGGAAATGCGGACAAAAAGAGATAACAATGCACATGATGATTGATGACACCTTTAAGCATTGGATCAAATTTCCCCTTTTCTTTCCCATTCTTATAAACCCTAAATAATTTTTTAAAAACAATTTTATAGTTAAATTATGTTATAATCTTTTATATAAAAAATGACACTTTTAATCGTTAAGTTATAAAAAGATAGTTAATTTAGTCATTAAATTATTGGGTTAATTGAGGAAATTGACGATTTGACAATATTAAGACTTTATGTATTTGAGATTGATGTTATCATAGAGCAGTTACTATAATTAGAATCAGTTTATATTTACACATACAAAAAAAAAAAAAAAAAAAAAAAAAGAAGTTACTTTAGTTTTTAAATTTTTTTCAAATTAAAATGATGTATTTAGTCTTTAGATTGGGGTTTATGGTTAATGGTTCTCCAGCATAATTAAGACAATATGTTTTTTGAAAATCAAGAACTTCGCTTATATTAAAACGTCATAACATGATTACACATAAAAAGGGAAAGGAAAGCACTATTTGGGTTAAGACAATATGTTAAATCTTTGAAATATGTTTATAGAAAAGTACTATTTGAGGTAAATTATGTTATGGTACAATTTTAGCTAAGACTATCTCTAAAGAAACCACTAAAAAAATTTGGTGCGATCTTCCTCCAAGAAAGACAAATTAATAGCTAAATTCTCAAAATGCAAAGCCAACAACCTTATAAACCAAACTACAATTGTTGTTAGTGAGATTGAAATCAATGATTAAGGTTTTTGGTCTCATTTAGGAAATAGAATAAGATTAAGAATAATGGAAAGAAATAATTAGGTGTAATTGTTGAATTAAATCTTTGGTTCATTTTCAGTCCCTTCACTGCCACTCTGTCTTTGAGTCCTCTTGGTCACTATGGTCAGTTTCGTATTCATCTTTCCTTGAAATAATTCTCATCTTCAAAGCAAAGAAGCTATTCTCTCTTTTTTTTCAAGGCATAATAAACCCATACCTCTGTCATCCTATATCTTCGAAATTGTAATTTTCTCTCTCTATAGCTATGCATTTCTTGAGTTTATGTAAGGGATACTAAGAATGGGTTTAGTGATTTTTCTGCATTGGGTTTTTGTTTTTGTTCTTCTTGAGCTTATAATTTGATGTTTGTGTGCTGATGGGCTGATTCTTTTATCTTATGTTGGTTTGGGAATTGCAGAGAGAAGGGTTTTTGTTGAAGGGATCAGTTATAAATGGCGGGTGATATTGATGAAGAACCCTTTAGGCTTAATTTCAAGGTAAACCTGTGTTCTATGGATCTCACTGTCTTTTTCTCAAATGGATTGATCTGCATTTTATAGTTTTCTGGGTTCTCCATTATCAAGTCTTGTTTTCTTCTTCTTTTGAGTGGCAACCAAAGATTGGTTCTTTATTTGGTTTTGATCTTTGATAATTGTAATTTATTTGTTGAGAGGTATGGTTTTCTATCCCTATAAATTTCATGGTGGATTTAATGAAACATAATTCCAAACTATTTTAATTGATTCCCCCAATGATCTCTTCCCCACAAAAGGCGAAATTCCCTTGTCCCTGGCCTGACAGGATAGGGGAGGAGTAAATCGGGCAAGAGGCGAAATCGGAAATTCCCTTGCCCCAGGCCCTCACACCCCGGTCCGACAGGATAGGGGAGGAGTAAATCACGGTGACTCAACAGCCCATTAGGTGGACCGACCATCTTGATCAATAAGTATACGAGGTTCTGATTTCAAAGGATGGTTTGAGCCTTTTTTGTCACATTGAGGTTACCTTAAACTTGATAGGCATTGATATGCAAATTAAGTTGTCTTCGTGAAATAATTTGGAAGTCTGAACTCTCAACATAGTTCTGGGTAATTTTTGAAAGCAGACATTGTCTTATGTTAAACCAGCTAAAGCTATGCTAATGTGTGTTTTCGTCGTCATGGTCAGTTGGATAGGCTTGCTTGTATCTCTTTTTTATGTGTACGTGCTTATAATGACAGTTGGATGCTCTAAACTCGGGCTCTGTTTCGTTCAGGCGGTTTGAGAGCGAAGGCCTGAGTTGGGAGCGGAGGTCATCGTTTTCTCGCAACAGATATCTTGAAGAGGTCGAGAAATATTCCAAACCGGGTTCAGTAACCGAGAAGAAGGCGATACTCGAGGCTCATTTTAGAAAGAGGGCTCTTCTAAGCCGGAGTTCATCCGAGTGCCAGACTAGTGAAAATAATGTCTCGCAGAGCACAGGGTACGAGGGGGACTTTGAGATTGTTAACGAGGGTAGTAGTCAGTCTGCATCGTTTGGTGAAAGCACGGGCTATGATGGGGACGACTTCGAGCATTTCAACGGGGGTGGTTATTCTGTGAACTTTAGCAACGGTCCTTATGGATCATCAAATTCTGTTATTGTCATTTCAGAATATTTCGACAAAGAAGCAACCTTTTGTCCGGTTACTGGAACTGTTGATCATGAAGTAAACGAGGCACCTCTTGGTGAAGGTGGGAGTATAGACGTGATACCAAATATTCCCGAGACCTCTGATCTTCATACAGTTGATAAAGATGGGAACTTTAGTTCAGTGCCTCAACCGAGTCCTTCTCCTAAGGTTCGTTCTCTTTTTCATACCTTTCTTGCATAAAAAAACGTTATCCATTACTCTCTTGGTCAGTTAAATAGTGTGTTTGACGTGTTTTCTGATGTCTAAATTGTAGATTAGTTCTGCATCAAAAACCAAACATTTGAAACATTCAATTATCCCGAGAGAAGGTTCCAATTCTAAAGACGTTTCGAGAAAACCTACTAGAAGGGGAAGTGATGCTTCACTAAGACCGAAAAGAGAAAAGCTCTCGTTGGAATCTGTTACTGCTTCAACTTCTCGTTCAATGTCGAGAACGTTAAAACACGAGGTTTCCACGTTGGACTCGGCAGCTACTTCCACTTCTCACTCTATCTCTAGAATACCAAAACACAAGGTTTTCCTCGCATATTCATTTCGTTCTTTTCTTTGTCATTCATCGATGTTGTAACTGGATTGTCTACTTTGAACAGGCCCCGTATGGTTCTAGAGATAAAGTTCTCAATGATTTGAAAAGGTATATATTACTCCGTATATTTGTTTCTCTGAATTTACAGCCTCCGATGGATTGTTTCTGACGAATAAATTTTGTTTCTTTACAGTTCTAACATTGGAAACGTATCAAGAACGAGAGAGAAGGTTGCCCCTAGTGTGCATCAAAATGCAAACAGGTCTACAAGCAAAAAAACGTGAACTTTCTGAATGCACATTCATTAATTTACTCGTCTAATATATATATCTTCTGGTATTCAGGCATAAGCAAGCTTTAAGTTCAACTAAGCCCGGCATGAAACAAAACGGTTCTGGATTCAATTTCAAAAGTGAAGAACGTGCAGAGAGGAGAAAAGAGGCAAGTCACCCTTGTATACAAGTCGAATTTTTTTTTTTTTTTTTTAAATAAAGAAGCTAATTCATTAATTATAGGCTGAAACGTTTACAATAAAACAACTTCCCTAGCAATGCTACAGAAAACTTGATTCGCAGACTGTTTCACAAATTTGAAGCTCAATCCGTTAAAAGATTCTTTAATGACTTGGTCAAATGTTCTTCAATGATCTAAAAGATTCTTAATATTTCTTCAGTTCTCAATGAAGCTCGAGGAGAAAATGAATGCTAAGGAGGCTGAGATGCTACAAATTCAAGCCAGAAGACAGGTACGCGAGAAATACAATTTTGGTTTAACCATATGGAAAGAGCATTTCACATAAATAGGATCGTTTTTTCTTTTCTTATAATTCTATGATAATCAGATTAGCCCACAAAGTTTCTTCCCTTGTTTTTTTTCAAATTGCGTAACAGTACAAATCGTCCTTGCTTCGTAGTTTATTGTCTATGTTTAGATTATTAAAATATGTCTAATTTTCATTAATACAGAAGAAGACAGAAGTAGAGACAAGGCAATTGAGAAGAAACCTTAATTTTAAAGCAAGTCCCCTGCCTTCCTTTTACCATGAAGCTAGGCCACTATCAGATAAATTTAAGGTATTTTTTTGTATTAACAATGCTTATAAATACTTGTTGGCTTTTCATTTTTACAAGACTAAATGATTGATCTTGGTGGCTGATACGACGTTTCAGACACCTGCAAGTAAATCCACACCGAGGAAGCCACAGCACTACCTGCGTGCATCTCCAAGAACAGTAGCTGCAGAAAGTTCCCCGTCTTGTTCAATGCAAACCTCTACGACGACCAAGTATAGGCCCACGGTGTCCTCAGATAGCAGTGTCTCGTCTGCACTTCCAACGACCACCAATACCCGAGGAACCAGGAAGAACAACGAAGAAAAGAAACAGCTCACGAGTTCGCTGAATCAAAGAGGATTGGGAGTGAACAAGGTGAATAATGGCCACAAGGTTGAGGTAAAGCCAAAAGTCAGTGCTGGGAGAAATGGCAGAACTGATCTGAGAAGCAATGTGCCCCGGGGCGTCCACTCGGGTTGTAGCTCGCAAATAACCTGTGTTGTGGTTGGTGTTTCTACATGAAATGCGCGAGTTTCCACGCCCGTTCTCAGGTCAGATCCTATATATACATATATGTATGCCTCTCCCTTTTCTTGTCAGCACAAAATGGCTATATATTTTATGATGTTGCTTTGATAGATTGGCACTTCCAGCAGATATGGATCATGTAATTACATATATAGTTTCATAGAAAAAAAAAATGTTATCAGCATTTTCTTGCAATTTCAAGAGTGCTCTGCTAGTCTATTACCCGGGCAACCTCAGCTAAGTTGGTGGAATGTTGGCTTGGTAACTACAAAGTTCTAATTTCGACTCCTAGTAGGATTGGCTTATTGGTCTTATTGGTTTGAGCCGGTCAGCTATGAGCACACCCTCCAGCTATTATTTGATAAAAATTAATACATTTTCATCCCCACGCAAAGTGAGACTTGAACGTAATATCTCTTTATTGTGGAAAGTAGTGAACCGATTGATAAAACTCGACTACATAGATTGTGACAATAATGTGAATGATAATCGATGATTATTTGCCAAATTTAGATCATCTAAAATGGAAAAGGGGTGACAATAATGTGAATGATAATCGATGACTATTTGCTAAATTTAGATAATCTAAAATGGGAATCGGTGACTATTTGCCAAATTTAGATAATCTAAAATGGGAATCGGTGACTATTTGCTAAATTTAGATAATCTAAAATGGGAATCGATGACTATTTGCTAAATTTAGATATCCAACATGGGGAAGGGATTACTGTTTGCATAATCTCATATATACATATCGATTTCAAATAAATAAGTCTTGCCAATGACCTCTTTACATAATCACTAAGGACAAACTCTTTAAAAAAATATTTCTCAAATTTGATATACTATATTTTAATTTTTATTTTAAGTATATGGGTATATATGTTTGTATTACACTTAATTAGTGATGGGGTATTGGATATGGGCTAAGAATTTATTGGGCTGACGTTGTTGGATCGGACGGATCCAAGGGAGTGATCGGGGGATCGTTATGCTGTGCATCCGTATGCACCATGCATGGTGCATACGGATGCAAAAAACGACGTCGTTTTATTAAAAACGCGCATCCCACATCGATTCCCCTCAAGAGCATTATGTTGTTCATTCATTCTGGAATCTTAGTTCATTGATTCTGGAATTTTAGTTCATAGATTCTGAAATTTTAGTTCATAGATTTTGGAATTTTAGTTCATTGGTTATGGATATTTAGACGTGAATCGAAACTGATTTTTTTTCATTCATGCATGCTGGATATTTAGTTCATTCATTATGGATACTTAGTTCATTCATTATGGATTTTTAGTTCATTCATTCTGGAATTTTAGTTCATAGATTCTGGAATTTTAGTTCATAGATTCTGGAATTTTAGTTCATTGATTCTGGATATATAGTTCAAATTATGCACAATATAATGTTGTTGCTGGGAATTGAAACTGATTTTTTTTTTTTAAAAGTGAGACGCGCGTTTTTAATAAAACGACGTCGTTTTTGCATCTGTATGCACCATGGATGCATAGCATAATTTGCCGTGATCGGGGGCATGACGGGGACAACTGGGGATGGCCGGCGTCGGCCAGCGCCCGGCCGGAGGGGGTCGTCGGCTAGGTGCGGGCGTAGCGCCCCCCGTGCGAGGCCACGGGGGCGGCGGTCGGGGGAGGCCGCCAGCTGGGGCAACGGCGCACCCAGTGCGCGGTTGGGCGCGGGCCTAGCGCCCCCCATCTCGCGGGGCGCGGTGGCGTGCGGTCACCGGCACCGGGGGCGGTTCCGCCCAGGGTACGTGGGGTGCACGGGAGCGAAGGTGGGGGTGTCGGAGGCGTGATGAACGTGTGGACTCCCGTGCGACAAATGAGGAAGTGACGTCTGAGTACGTGGGACATGTGGACATCCGAAGGAGGAGGGGGGCCTGCTATAAATAGGGGTCCTGGGTTTCTAGCAAGGGGCAGGAAAATCAAAGTGGTCAGTCTAGTCCAGTGTCTCGACTCCAAGCTCTCAACTATCCTACCCAAGTTCGATTCTCGCTACTAGCATAGTCAGTTGTAGCCCATCCGGTGGGCCTCATGCTTTGTATCCAGGCTGTGTCATTTGGGGCCTGTACCTCGGGCTTGTACGTGCTATTTTGGACCTAGCGCCCCGGGTAATAAAGTTATTCTTTGCCTACCCCGTTCTATATTTTTATACCCGATTTATGGTAGACTCGGTCCCAATAAAACCATTAATTAGTGTATTAATTAAAAAAAAAAAAACATAAAATGACTCCCATACAATATGCTAGCTTGAGTCAATTACCGATTCAATCATAAACTATGATGATACTTTTAAAGTTTGCATTTAACTAGGATGATACTTTTAAAGTTTGCATTTAACTAATAATTTGACTTAATCTTATACTCAACTTAAGTGGTTGCACTCAATTTCGTCTTCCGAGTTCCGTCTACCATTTTGTCTTATCCTTGTGAAATTTGAGGGTTAACAAGGTGAACTAATATCTCATCAGTAGCAGAAAGTTGAAATGAATGTTTGTCATCCATAGATTTTTATCTAATAGGCAAATTTAGACGTAACAATAAATATCTAAATCCTTGTTAAACTTTCTAATTCTATTAAAATGATTTTTTTTTTTGGAAGCTACTGACTTTATTACATTGTAGTATCTGTTCATCTCTACTTTCTCAATCTGTTGAAGAACAAAGAGTCAACACCGCCTCTTGAGGCTCGATATCATGACCTCCCATATGGGAGAACCACTACATGCCATCTGAACACAAGATGTATTAAAATGAGTTTCAATAGAATCAAAATGAAATAGTGAATGGGGAAGTTTATTGAAAGATAATAATTTACTTTTAAATCCTTAAATTTCATAGAGATTAAATGAAGATGTAGATAAAGAACAGAATTAGACACAATCATTAAAGTTTTTTTATAAAAAGAGTTAAAAGTTAAATAATTAACCAATGACTATATCAAAACATCACAATAATTGATAATCAAATGGGTGAATTATGTCTACTAGCCGCTCTAGCCCCCACTCTGGTCTAGCATAGCATTTGAGATGATGTAAATCATGGTAACTCAATGACTCAGCAAATAGAGCCAAATATTGATGTGTATAAGGAATTTGCCCACTTTAAATATAATTTCCACACTACCGCCGTTAAAATTTGAACCTTGATCTCTTTTTTTAACTGTCAATTGAACTATTAAACTAAATTCATGCGGACTAGTCAGGTATCATCTATAGCGTATACATAGTGCAAGTCACCCAAAGATTTAAAAAACATCTAAAAGTTAATACTATTTGTATTATCAGATAATTTTATTTACAAAAGTTGTTGGAGTGCCCTTTTCTTGTTTTAAAAGGAAAAAATATACACACTTTTTTTTGGGACAGCACAACCTAAGTTTTATAAAAAGAAAGGTCTAAAACTACTTTTTACAACATTAAAAGAATAATGGACCACTAGCATGATATGTCATATATATCGTCTCTCTCATGGGCTACTACTCAACTTCCATTAATTTTTTATTTTATTTTATCTATTCTCGAGCCTCATTCCCACTTTCATCCAAACAGAACATACCATAAATCCCATTGCAGAAAAACTTCTTTTTATTTTTATTATTTTTATTCGATCTAGATTGTGCTAAATTATATTTTTTAAAAAAAAATTGGAAATAAGGAGAATTAGTTTATTCAAGTAAAACTAAGGATTATTATATAAATTATAAAAGTTTATAGAGTCTAATCACTTCAATTGCTGAACTTCATGAGAAAAACTTGTAAAAGAGTCAAATTTTAATGCAAATTTAACTATGTTTGCATTGTTGATCATATTTAGTTTCTGATTTTTAATTTGACTATATTTTGTGCAATGACTTTATTGATATATACTATCTTTGGTCCTCTATTCACGTAATAATTGAATACAAAAGAAATAAATATAATAATAACATGACAAAAATAATTATTAGGGGTGATTTTAATAGAGAAATATATGTATATATATTGACCCCGACCACCCAATTATTCTTAAAGAAAAGAGTACAAAGACTAAGAACAAATAATTGCTCTAATTGCTTAATTTTTAATATTTAGAGTTCAAACTTATTTAATTTTTAATTTTCAATACTTATAAAATGTTCATTGACTACATGTACAAATAAAATAAATAAAATAAAAAATAAGAGAAATGTTCATAATTTTATACTTTATATAATATAATAAATGTAAAATTGTACTCCTTACAAGAAGTTTCGTAATAAGTTGATTATATTCGTATGTTATATAAAATCCAAGAAAAAACACTAAAGATTGTAGCAGATCGAACATGACAATTTTATTGTAATGATGACTCCTTGATAGCCACTTTTTGACCCTGTAACCAACCCTAGGGGGCCATACATGTAACCAACCACCAAGGCACCAAGTGACAACGACAATAAAAAATATATATGCACTATATTTTTCAAAATAAAAAGAGATTATAATATATTTGTAATTTTTTTATAACTTATTAAATATGTATTTTTTATAATATTGTAAATTATAATGTCCTATTCTCTACAAAGTTATATCTTATAATTTTATAAAGATATATAAAGAGAATACAATTTTGTAAATTACGTAATACACACTTCACTAATCATGCTATATCATAGTATTATTATTTTAAGAAGTATTTTAATGAAATTTGTAAGCACATTTTAATTGGTAGGTAATATTTTATTATTAATGTCATTGTTTAAGTTGAAATTTATTCAATCATGATAACATAGATAAAAAAAAAATATCCATCTCGATCGAATACGTAACTAAGTTTACTATGTTAATATGATCAACACACTGTCTCTTAATTGAGTCAGTCCTGTGCAAATAAAAACTAATCTCAGTATAATACAGATTTAAAATAAGTCATATAATTAAAGTATACTCACAACACTTGTTCGAAAAAGAAAAAAAAAAAGAAAAAAAGAAATGAAATATTGCAAGTAGCTAGTGGATTGAATACATTGAATAGATAGATGCATCTATACATTACCAAAGTCCAGACGTATAGTATAAGTCAAGACTTATAATTAATTTGCTGCAAATTAAAATCAACAAGAAATTGAAATTTCTACGCTCCCATGGCCATGAAATTATCAGAACATCTCATCATGACAACAAAATGAATCACAGAAAAACCTAAAAGATCAGAGGCTAAGAGCTTAGTTACACAGGTAGGACAAAACTAAAAGACTTAAGTCTAATAAAAAGGCACAGTAAAAGCAATGAAGAACAGAGCGGCGGCGGCGACCGCCGTCATGGCCGTGGGTGCTCGGAGAGTTCTTGAAGACGACGACGATTGATCTCCGTGGGGAGGCTTTCGGAAGTAGTACGGGAACCACGGGAGGATGGGGTCCGGAGGCGGCGGCGTGAGGCCGCCGTTGGTGAAATCCGGCGGTGGGTTGTAGAAGTAGACGCCGCCGCCGCCGCCGCCGGGGGGAGTGTAAGTAGGGAGTGGGGGAGGATTGTTAGAGCCTGGTTGGGAGGGTGGAGTTGTAGTCGCCGGAGGGTTGTTGTTTCCGGGGCCGGTTGGCGGTGGGTAGCACGGATAGGGGCACTCTTGGGCGGTGGTGGTGGTCGCCGGAAAAGTGAGGGCGGCGGCGAGAAGGAGGATGGCTTGGAAGAAAAGCTTGGAGGCCATGGGATGAGGAGTGAGGAGGAATAGTGGCATTTACAAAGTATGAGAGAAAGAAATAATGAAGCAGAAGGTGTATTTGAGAATTTCACATAATATTGTGGTTTTTTTTTTTTTTCATTTTTTTTTTTAGTTTTATTTTTTTAAGTTTTGTCAAGAGAGTGGGGTAGAGGCCCAAATTATATCTTGGACCAGGTCCCCGTTATAAGGTGAACATTGGTTTAAAATGGAGCGTTATGCTATGTAACCGTGTTTATCATGTGCATAGTGGACACGTTATACATTCATAATTTTTATATTGTACATTCATAATTTCTATGCTGTAGATTCATAATTTTTATATTGTAGATTCATAAAATTTATAATGTCGATTCATAATTTCTATACTGCACATTCATAATTTCTGTACTGTAGATTCATAATTTCTATACTGTAGGTTCATAAAATTTATAAAGTAGATTCATACAGTACAGAAATTATGTATGTGTAGTATAAAAATTATGAATCTACAATATAGATTTTATAAATCTACACTATAGAAATTATGGATCTACAATTTATAAATTATGAATGTACAGTATAAAAATTATGAATGTATAGCGTGTCTCCATGGCATAATTTGCCGTTTAAAATGAGTCTTTTTTTTTTCTTCCAGAAACTTAAAGCTTAATATTCAAAAACAGGATACTGAAGGCACCGAAGCAGGATACTCTGCAAATTATATTGATTGTGATCTACGTTTGGATGTGGGTGCCCCCTCATGGCGTTTTACTGGTTTTTATGGTTTTGCTGAGAGGCACCGAAGGCGGGAGGCTTGGCAGTTGTTGCGTACTTTGTCATCTCGGTCAACTCTACCGTGGTTAGTAATGGGGGATTTCAATGATCTCCTACATCAGTCTGAGAAGATTGGCCGGGCCCCGCATCCGCCTTGGTTGATTAATGGTTTTAGGGAGGCAATTGCGGACTGTGATTTGCAGGATTTTCCGTTTGAAGGGCCGCAGTTTACATGGGTTAAATCACGGGGCACGAGTGGTATGATTGAGGAGAAGTTGGATCGTATTTTAGCAAATGAGGAGTGGTTAAATCTGTTTCAGGGCGCTCGGGCACAGTCTCTGGTTGTCCCATACAGTGATCATTTACCCCTGATTCTTACACCGGTTATTCTCCAACGCGTCCGGAAGCGTGCTAGGTTTTGTTTTGATAATTTGTGGCTACGGGAGGATTCGTGTAGAGAAATTGTAGCACAAAGTTGGGACAGGACGGTGGGCCTGGATACGTTAGCAAGGGTGGAGGCATGTGCTCTTGATTTGAAGAGGTGGGGGCGGAGTTATAATAGAGATTTTCAGCGGAAGATTGAGTTTAATAAGCAACGCTTAGTGTGGTTGAGAGGGCGTCGTGATGAGCCAGGGTTGAGGGAATATGATGCGGCTGAGAGGGAGTTGCTTTTTTTGCTGGAGCAACAACATTATTTCTGGAAACAGCGAGCTAAGGAGTATTGGTATCAAGGGGGGGATGTCAATAGCAAGTTTTTTCACAACTCTGTGAAAGCTAGACGTCGACGTAATACTATTAGACGGCTCCAGGATGAGAATGGGGATTGGGTGGAGGACTCGGAGGGGTTGGATAATGTAATGTTGAATTATTATACAGGTTTGTTTACCCCGGATTATGGTGAGATGCAGGAGGTGATTGATGCAATACCTGCGAAGGTAACTGAGCGTGATAACGCTACGCTACTGCGCCCCTTGAGTATGGAGGAGGTACGTACGGCGGTGTTCCAGATGCATCCGGATAAGTCCCCGGGGCCTGATGGTTTTGGACCGGGGTTTTTCCAATATTTCTGGGACATTGTGGGGGGGGGGGGGGGGGGGGGGGGGGGGGGGGGGGGAAGTAACAGCTTTTTGTAGAAGATTTTTGGAGACGGCCAAGCTCCCACGTGGGGCTAACGATACCCTCGTTGTAATGATTCCAAAGAAGCCCAGACCGGAAACTATGAAGGATTTACGCCCGATTGCTTTGTGTAACGTCGTCAAAGGTATGTGCAAACCGTCTAAAACCCATGTTGCATAAGTTGATTTCATGTGCTCAAAGTGCTTTTGTACCGGGGCGTTTAATAACTGACAATATCATGCTTGCCTATGAGGTTCACCACTTTTTGAAACGAAAAACCCAGGGACGTGAGGGGGTTGTTGCTTTGAAACTTGACATGTCAAAGGCCTATGATCGGGTCGAGTGGGGGTTTCTACGGGCAGTATTGCTTAAGATGGGGTTTGGTGATGGGTGGGTTGATATATTGCTGGAGTCAGTGACATCAGTTCGGTATCATATCTTGCATGATCAGCGGCACTTGGGGCCAGTTGTACCGGGAAGAGGCCTTCGTCAGGGGGACCCGCTTTCCCCGTATCTGTTCCTTTTTGTGGCTGAGGGGTTGAGTGCTATGATCGAGAGAAGCATGTCTGCGGGTCATTTGCATGGGGTCTCGGTTGCGAGGGGGGCTCCATCAATTTCTCATCTCCTTTTTGCAGACGACTCCTTCCGCTTTTTACGGGCTAATGAGGATGAATGTATTCAAATGAGGTATGTGCTTGATACTTATGCCAGGGCTTCTGGACAGCATATAAATTATGATAAATCTGCCGCATGTTTTAGCGCTAATGTCCCACAGAATAGAAGAAATGAGGTTGTTGATATACTGGGTGTGGAGGAGGGTGAAACGAGTGGAAAGTATTTGGGTTTGCCATCCCTAGTGGGGAGAAGGAAGAGAGCTATTCTGGGTTTCCTGAAGGATCGTATACTCACCAGGGTCCGTTCTTGGAATGCCAAGTTCTTGTCTAGAGCTGGGAGGGAGGTGCTTTTGAAGAATGTTCTGCAGGCAATGCCAGCTTATGCTATGATGGTGTTTTTGCTCCCCTTGGGTCTATGTCGGGAAGTGGAGGTAATTTTGAATCAATACTGGTGGACTGGCAGTGTAGGTGGTGGCCGAGGGGTCAGGTGGCGCTCATGGGAGGGTCTGGCAAGGCCGGAAGCATGTGGTGGAATGGGCTTTCGACGTCTACATGAGATGAATAAGGCGTTACTAGGAAAACAGGCGTGGAGGTTAGTTTCCAATCCCTCAAGTCTAGTGGCCCGTGTGTATAAAGCTCGGTATTATCCTGATTGTGACTTTTTTGATACCAGGGAGGGTAGCAACCCATCCTATATTTGGCGGGGTATGCTGGAGGTAAAGGGCTGTTTGAAGGAGGGCTGTAGACGGGTCATTGGTGATGGTAAGAGCACTATAATCGGCAGGGATCCTTGGCTACCTGTGGATGGTAATCCGTTTGTGGAAACAGAGTTGCATCACACAGTTTATGAGGCACCGGTGGCCTCCCTGCTGGATTTACATGGTAATGGTTGGGATGTGGATTGTGTGAAGGATATTTTTAATCCTCGTGATTCTAATATCATTTTGAATATTCCTGTCAGTAACCGGAGGCCTCATGATCAGTGGTTTTGGCATTGGGAGCAGAAAGGTGTGTATTCGGTCAAATCATGTTATAAGCAGCTTACGAGGGTGGCTGCGACTGACCGCCCTTGGCCAAGTATATGGAACCTGCAGGTCCCTCCTAAGGTGAAGAGTTTTTGTTGGCAGTTAGCGTCCCACTATCTTCCCACATGTGATTTTTTGTTAACTAAGAATGTTGCATGTTTGGTGGATTGCCATATGTGCAGGCAGGTGCAGGAGTCGGCAATGCATCTTTTTATTCAGTGTGGGGAAGCAGTTAGGCTGTGGAATATGTTGGGGATGGCGCATGTGTGCAGCTTTAATGGTAATCATCTGGGTGACTGGTTCTTTTGGGCTTTGGGCACTTTAGATTTGATTGCTAAGCCTAGGTTTGTGATGGCTTGTTGGGGTATGTGGTGCAGTAGGAACGACAGTGTTTGGAGGGGTACTGGCTTTGATTTATCTTCTTTGGTGCGTAGGTCTATGGCGTTTCTGGATAGTTGGAGGAACGCGAATGAAAAACTACTTGCTGGTACTGGCCACATTGACACACATTATGTTACTGCTTGGGCAAAACCCACGCATGGAAGGCTCAAACTTAATACTGATGTTGCGTTAAAGGAGGAGGATAATGCTATGGGGTTCGGGTGGGTCTTGCGGGATGATGGTGGTAATTTCCTTGCTGCAAAGAATGTCAGACTATCCGGATTGATTACAGTAAGGGAGGCAGAGGTGCTATCTATACGGGAAGCATTGAGTTGGTTGAAGGGCACTGGTTTGGGTGCTGTAGACGTAGAAACGGATTGTAAGATTGTTTTTAATGCTTTAACTTCGGAGTCTTTTATTTCTGTGTTTGGTTATTTAGTTGATGATGTAAAGAGCTTGGCATCTGAGATTGATGATGTGCAGTTCTGTCATGTGAAGCGATCTGCGAATTGTGCTGCCCATGCTGTTGCCAGGGAAGCCTTTTCTGTGTCAGGTTGCGGGGAGTGGTTGGATGAGCCACCTGCTTTTCTTGTTGACATTCTTGATTCCGATTCAATGAATTAATCTTTCTCTTTCAAAAAATATTCAAAAACTAAACACTATGGACATGTTTACTTCAAGAAATTATTCTCTGTTCTATATTTTTAAATTTTTAAATTTTCATTTTCTATTCTCTGTTTTTTACTTTTATGTTTAGAAAACTTGTTTACTAACATCTATTTTTCAAATTTATTTTTTAGAAACTTTATAAAATTAACACAAGTGTTATTTCGAGTGAATTTTAGACTTTATATTTAAAATATTTTTTTGGATATGTTTGGTTTAAATTGAATAATACTTTTAAGTCTATGTAATAAGATTTTTACATTTGATATTCGAACAAAATTTATAGTCGTATATAACATAACTAAAAATATATCCGAACCAATAACCTATTAAGTTCACCTAAATTTTAGTTTAGATAATATTAATATTTTTGAACTAATATTTAAAATATTTTTGGATATATTTATTTGAATGAAATGTATATATATAATTTTTAATTTGAAGTCTAATATATGTAAAA